GTAAAATGCGACCTCTCACTAATGTATTAAAACACTTTGAATTTATACTTATGCAGGATTATATTTGGTCATTTTAGCATGACGCTGAAGAATTTTACCCTAGCGGCGCGATATTTATCCTAGCGGCATATGATTTTACCATGGCAGCCCGCCCTACCAAATCAACACGTAGAGAGCACTGGGACTGATCACACACCCCTGCCTTACACCTTTACTTGTCTCAAATAAAGGTGTAATTTTATTTCCGAAACGAATGCATGTTTTTGTATTGTCATACAAGTTCTTAATTAAATTGTATATTTTCCCATCAATACCATTGGTTAGTTATTTATAACATAATCTGTTCCTCCAAACACTATCAAATGCTTTTTGGAAGTCGACAAAGCAAGTATATATTTCCCCCAAAAATGCCATTCATCTTTTTAAAAGTAGTGTTACCAATTATCATGTATGGGTCAGAAGTATGGGGTGCTTTCACTTTTAAATTGTACAAAACAAAGTGGTATTATGACTAATTAAGCATTCATTGAAAAATTGTTTAGTGACAAAACCCAATTTGAACAGCTTCACATCAAATTCTGTAAGCAGGTCTTGGGTGTACATAAGAAAGCAAGCAATAATGCTGTCAGAGCAGAGTTGGGATGCTACCCTATTATTATTGAACTCTGCACACATATGCTGAAATTCTGGAAAAGACTTAAGAATTATAAATGTAACAAATTGGTGTGTTCTGCTTTCAACCAAGAAAAAAATAGTACCGGTAATACTTGGACAGCATTTATTAATAAACTGCTTGAAATTACTGAAACTCGTTATTGATATTTCAAATTTTAAAACAAAGTTAAAACAATTGTATGTAGAAAATATTTGGTTGCAAAGTCTACAAAAAGCAGAAAATAACAAATTACGAACATACAACAAATTAAAATTAGCATTCAAATTTGAGCCATACTTGGACCTTATGAAAAATATGAAACATCGAACCAGCTTAACTAGGTTTAGATTTTCAGCTCATTCACTTCCAATTGAAAAGTTGAGATATCAAGGAATACCTCCAGAAGAAAAAAATTGTACACTATGTGATCTAGGGTCTGTTGGCAGTGAATCTCATGCATTCATGGACTGTGAAAATATTGAAATTAAAAATAGTCGTATAGAATTTTTAAATATGGTAATTCAATGCATTATTTCGTGCGAAATAAAATATACTATAGTTTTCCTTTTTGTTTAAGATATTTATTAACAATTGTTTTTAAAACAAGATTTGATCAGTGGTACGGTATTCTTTCCTGAAACCTGCTTGATTATTATTTATTATATTATTTGTTTCTGTAAATTGATATATTCTGTTATAAATTATGCTACATTTTACCTACACAACTGGAAACTGCTATCCCTATGTAATTACTTGGATCATCTTGGTCCCTCTTTTTAGCTCCGCTGTCGACTTTGTCGAGCGGAGCTTATCATATGAGTGATTGTCAGTCGTCGTCGTCGTCGTTCGTGTCAATGTTTTACTTTTTCGACTTCTTCTTGAAAACTACAAGCCTGAATGCTTTGATACTTGGTGTATATGTACCTTGGGTAGACCTCTCTTAGGTTTGTTCATTTCATGTTGATATCTTCAATTCTCTAATTTTGGTGAATATTTTTGTCATTTTTGGTAAAAAGTGATATTTTCGACTTCTTGTTAAAAACCGCAAGTGCAATTGCTTTGATATTACATATATAGGTACTACATGTGGACCTCTCTCAGATTTGTTCATTTTGTAATGATATCTTTAATTCTCTAATTTTGGTGAATATTTTTGACATTTTTGGTAAAAAGTGATATTTTCGACTTCTTGTTAAAAACCGCAAGTGCAATTGCTTTGATATTACATATATAGGTACTACATGTGGACCTCTCTCAGATTTGTTCAGCATGCATTCAACTAGAAAAAACAATTGTAGTGATGGGTTAAGAAATACAGTGTGTTTTATGTTTCTGTGATTTTTTCATGCTTAAGTAAACATCGGTATTTGGGGGTTAGTCTAGAGAGTTGATCTAGACTCCTAGCTGCTCCACGATGGTGATTTTTGGAATAGGTATTCTCTGATAGCTGCTAATGAAATCTGGCAAAGATAGTTTGTCTACCACTTTGACTTTAGAAAATACAACACAACTCTCCCGTATGTGAACTCTGAAACAGGGTACCATATTTCAAAACAACGTTGACAATGATTTTAAAAAGTTATGTTATGAAGTAAAAATCTAGGTCACGCAACAGTAGACTAACTGGGAAATTGAATTCAAACCTTTTATAGTATCACGAACATTATTTCTGTGGCCTTATTTCGGTTTCTTCGAAAATTACACCTCTCTATTTGCACAGTGATCATGTGATTACATGGTATCATTTTTTTGTTGGAATATTATTTCATATTAATTCCTGACAATGAGAACTTAATCATGCTGTAGTAAAATTTGACTGATTTATATACAAGTAAATTCTGATAGTGGTTATCAACGAGTTCCATCAGGGCAGCAGTATCCTGGCTGCTGATCCTTACAGTTGATCACTTCTTTCTGGTTGTTACTACATGTTATTACTTCTGAAGATATTTGTAATGTTATCAAAGCATAAGAGAGCGAGTATGGCTTTTTTAATGGTCCAAAGTAACAAGTACTCAGAATTTGCATCAGTTACATGTTCGCATGTCGGGCGTTCAAATATGCTTATTTTGGATACATCACTGACTGTGCCTGGTGGAAAACTAGTTCTGAAAGCGAGAGTGATATTGTAGCATTCATTTTCAGCGTCTTTAAAAAAAATTATATTCAAAAATATTGTTACATTTTGTATTAACAAAATACAGGAATTTAAGTTCTTGTACATTGTATGCTTCGTCACATATGCTATACGTTATTTTGTTTGTGTTTTTATTAAATCAGTCAAAGAGTCAAGGGTTGAACAGAGTACAATATAACTTATCTAAGTCATCTGTCACATTCTGTATTGTCACTGTTTTAATTGGAACTTAATTGCTCAGTGTGAAAACATTAAGTATGTTTAGTCTGTGCGCTTAACATTGAAAATATGTAACAATAAAATGACCAACAGGCGAGACAAAAAAGCACTTACAAATATTACATCAAAACATACTCTTCTAGTGAACACTCTTCATCTGATGAACAAAAATGACACAGATAGTTTATATAAACATATTTACATATTGTTGGTGCAAGCATATGCATATTAATCAAATTTGCTAAAATTATAAGTGTCCAGAACCATTTCTCTGAGATGTACCATAGAATTATTATCTTATTTTGACTTAATTCATCAAATTTGGTGAATTTTTCTGAAATCGCTTTCTGTAAAATATGTTTGAAAATGTTCTCAGAAATTAACAGGGTAATTTCCTCTAAATCCTTGTACCATGATCATGCATATTGGGTTACAAGAGCAAGTTGATGAATACAAATGTTGTTTTAGAGCCATCCATTGACTACAACTACATTAAACATCGCATCATTTGTTTCATGTTCTGACTCATTTCTAAGGGGAATTCTGTCATGTCATTATAGCAAAAATAATCCAATGATAATTTATTTTGTTTTTATGGTACCGGTATCTATGCATGTTTCTCTGTATATCTGTTTCTATGTATTATCACAGTCCCTCCACAAAGACTGTGGTATTATATTATTACATTTTGTCAGTAATACTGTACTGAAATTAACATACTGATGATGCATGAGGCCTTTTTGTATACATATACATGTGACTTGTACAGAACATGGGACTATTAATTTGGAATCATATCTCAGTCAGTCATGCATTACCCGATCTCATTCAAGCTTTACACACATACACTACATCATGTTTTACAGATGCCTTTTTATTTGTTTGAAGATCGAAACAAAAATGGCAGACTGCTTAGTACATACAGATAGATAGTATAAATGAACATACGTCAGCATCAATTTTTTGTGTGTGATGCAATCTAATTCAGCCAACCAACATTCAATTTTGATGAAAAGAGCTAAAACATCATTGTTGCATGTCAGCAGTTGTTTCTTGGACATGACTAGGATGATTGTGATCAAAGTTGGTGTGATGATCATACATGTTGAGTTACAGGTGCATGTTATTTTTTGTGTGATTTGAACAAATTTTGCTGATTTAAGTCATTACACTAACATTGTTATTGTACAATTTTAATTCAGAAGGAACCATTCCAACATTTTAGTGACAAGGTTTGTGTATGCCCTTTATGACTTGCTTGCATATTGTACTGAAATCAGGATTACAAATAATTGGTAGAGTAATGGTTTTATTTTTATGTGTCCCTTGAACATGCTTGAGCTGTCAATTATGTTTTGCGCATTGTGGATTTTATTCAAACTTGTTATGAATATTATAGATGATGGCTTTGATGCACGTCTGCATTGTAATTTAATTCAAAATGCTGACTAGTTATTGATATATTGCACAAAAGTTCGCCAGAGAAACACAAACAACAAGACTAGTTCTGAGCTGTCATGAACGTAAATAACTTTATTTTTAATGCGCATGCGTGAACCTCGTTCCGCAACAAGGATAATACATAACAGTAGGATATACAAAATATCACAGTTATGTTTTATTTTAATACTTTGCTCAAGAAAGTGCTGGATGAGTAACATATTAACATGCGGAATACTCCTACAACATTTAATTATAACCTACATCTGTCATTGTTTTTATTTGACACAGTAACTAAAAACTGGACGGAGAAAATGTCATTGACAATTACTTGTTTCACATTGTATTGAGTGATGTTGGTTTTTTTGCATCTTCTTTTAATCTTTGTCCTCTCTGCATCCATTCAATAGATCCATCAGACCTACTTCATTGTACCATTAGTGCTCCGTCTATTTGACACATGATCTCTCAGTTACTTTGTTCAGAATGCTTTATAATCTATTGAATGTTATTGTTTATTAAAATGTAATTTACTTTGTGTTTTTTTAGGGGTCATCCTTATATCAGAGAACAAAAAGAAGTATTTTGGAATCTGGCAATATTTCTCCTGATGAAAATGCTAAGAAGATAAAGCCAGTTCTTCAAGGTGTGAATCCTATTCCCACATTTGGGCAAAGTCAGGAATGTTATAATCACATAGATCCTCCTGGTCCTGGTCCTGGTCCTTGCCCAAGAGAAGTGAATGTGAGACTTCAAGAGAAACATCTACAGCTCAGAGAATCGAATGAACCTCCTGGTCCTCCCCCAAGGGAATGGGATGCCAGACATCTAGATGAACCTCCTGGTCTTCATCCAAGGGAATGGGATGATAGACATCTAGATGAACCTCCTGGTCCTCACCCAAAGGGATGGCATGCCAGACATGGAGATGAACCTCCTGGTCCTCCTCCAAGGGAATGGGATGCCAGACATGGAGATGAACCTCCTGGTCCTCACCCAAGGGAATGGGATGCCAGACATCTAGATGAACCTCCTGGTCCTCACCCAAAGGGATGGCATGCCAGACATCGAGATGAACCTCCTGGTCCTCCCCCAAAGAAATGGGATGCTAGACATCTAGATGAGCCTCCTGGTCTTCATCCAAGGGAATGGGATGCCAGACATCTAGATGAACCTCCTGGTCCTCACCCAAAGGGATGGCATGCCAGACATGGAGATGAACCTCCTGGTCCTCCTCCAAGGGAATGGGATGCCAGACATGGAGATGAACCTCCTGGTCCTCGCCCAAGGGAATGGAATGCCATACATCGAGATGAACCTCCTGGTCCTCGACCAAGAGCATGGAATGATAGACATCACAATAGACCACCTGGACCTCACCCAAGAGAATGGGATGACAGGCATCAAAATGTACCTCATAGTCTTCACCCAAGGGAATGGGATGGCAGACATCGAGATGAACCTCCTGGTCCTCCTCCAAGGGAATGGGATGCCATACATCGAGATGAACCTCCTGGTCCTCCCCCAAAGGAATGGGTTGCCAGACATCAAGATGAACCTCTTGGTCCTCACCCAAGGGAATGGGATATCAGACATCACGATGAACGTCCTGGTCCTCACATAAGGGAATGGGATGGCAGATATCAAGATGAACCTCCTGGTCCGCGCTTAAAAGAATGGGATGACAGACATCACGATAGACCACCTGGAACTCACCCAAGAGAATGGAATGATATGCATCAAGACAAACCTCCTGGTCCTCACCCAAGGGAATGGGTTGTCAGAAATCGAGATAAGTCTCCTGGTCCTCACCCAAGGAAATGGGATGACATGCGTCAAGACAAACCTCTTGGTCCTCACCTAAGGGAATGGGATGTCAGAAATCGAGATGAGCCTCCTGGTTCTCACCCAAGGGAATGGGATGACATGCGTCAAGACAAACCTCCTGGTCCTCACCCAAGGGAATGGGATGCCAGAAAAAGAGATGAGCCTCCTGGTCCTCACCTAAGGGAATGGGATGACATGCGTCAAGATGAACCTCCTGGCTCTCACCCAAGGGAATGGGATAGCAGACATCAAGATGAACCTCCTGGTCCTCACCCAAGGAAATGGGATGACATGCGTCAAGACAAACCTCTTGGTTCTCACCTAAGGGAATGGGATGTCAGAAATCGAGATGAGCCTCCTGGTTCTCACCCAAGGGAATGGGATGACATGCGTCAAGACAAACCTTCTGGTCCTCACCCAAGGGAATGGGATGTCAAAAAAAGAGATGAGCCTCCTGGTCCTCACCCAAGGGAATGGGATGTCAGAAATCGAAATGAGCCTCCTGGTCCTTACCCAAGGGAATGGGATGACATGCGTCAAGATGAACCTCCTGGTCCTCACCCAAGGGAATGGGATAGCAGACATCATGATGAACCTCCTGGTCCTCACCCAAGGGAATGGGTTGTCAGAAATCGAGATGATCCTCCTGGTTCTCACCCAGGGGAATGGGATGCCAGACATAAAGATGAACCTCCTGGTCCACAGCCAAGAGAATGGGATGCCAGATATCCGGATAATTCTCTTGGCCCTCCCCCAAGAGAATGGCATGACAGACATCAAAATGAACCTCCTGGTTTTCTCCCAAGAAAATGGGATGGCAGATATCGAGATGAACCTCTAGGTTTTCACCCAAGACACTTGGAGAGACAACGAATAAGAAATTCATTCCAACGAGGGCGAGATGAAGGATATTGGGATACACCAGAAGAAAAAAGAAAGCAAGCATGGGAATCTTACTGGGCAGCGAAAGAGGCTGATAGGCAGAAAGCTTGGAAAATGTACTATGAAAAAATGGACAGGGAGGATTGGCGTAAATGGCACGAAAAACAAAACTATGGACAAAGGGTTGATATCCCAGATTGGCATGGTACAGACGAGGAATGGAGAGCATTATGTGAAGAAGATAGAGATGATATTAGATACAGAGCCTACCTGGCAGAGTGGAAAGAATGGCATAGGCGAGAGGCATGGAGAAAATATGAAGAATGGAAGTCTCAAGATGATGAAGAAGAGAGGATTTGGAGAGAAGCCTGGAGAAAGTACTATGAGAATAATGATAGACGAAAAGCTGGATATTTGGGATGGCAACAGACTGATGGGATATATGAAAATGATTATCAGTTAATCAGGCAGAACAGACTTGTCTCAAAAACACCACAAAGAGCCTTAGATGTTAGAAATATAGTGACTGATTCTGAAAAAGGCTCAAAGATTCAGGAGCCTGTTGCTGGAAGTGTAAGTATATTTGGGTATATAAGAACAATAACAATGTTTACAATGTTTTATGTATGAAACATTATACATATCATAATAATCATAATAATAATACATAAACAAACTAGTGACACAGTACCCATAGCAACATCCCTATAAACAGCTATGGTGGTGATGTGTTGTAACTGCCACGTTTGACTAATTTTTCATCATATACAACATCATCTCAGCTACAGTGGAGATATTTCTATCTTACATTGTAAGTTTACTCATTTGAAAGTACACTGTGTTTTTGTTTAGGAATCATCTGTATATTTGAGAACTAAAAGAAGTAAATTTGAATCTCTTGACACCTGGTAATAAATCTAAGAAACTCAAGCAAATGAATTTTGGGAAAAGTAAATCAGATCCACAAACATCGCATAGAGTAGTGAATGATGAAAAAACAGATGCTAGATACTCAGTGTCTGATTCTAGAATGAATTGCAAAAATGACAAAATAGATGGTCTAACAAATCCAGAGATTAATACTCAGCAATCAAGTGATGCATTACAAAGGAAATCAAGAAATTTCTGCCATTGTGTTTTGGCACAAGTTGTTACTTTTGCTGTGGGAGTGTTGGGTTATATGGGACATGGGTTTGCTGTCTGTGAAAAAAAGAGTTGAAAATGAATGAAAGCTCACATGAATGAACATAGTCATGATACTCTGTTTTCAAATACCCACAGGTGTTGCCTGAATTCGACAGTCCAATTATTGCCTTGGATACAAATTGCTGGTTCTGCAGAGCTTGTAATAAGACATTCAGTACATTTTTAGTAAGTACTATTGTTACTCCTCAAAATAACAGGTTACTGAATTAAATTGGTATACTGGGATACTGAATGACTTGGGTATACTGGGTTACTGAATAACTTGGGTATACTGGGATACTGAATGACTTGGGTATACTGGGTTACTGAATAACTTGGGTATACTAGGTTACTGAATAACTTGGGTATACTGGGTTACTGAATAACTTGGGTATACTGGGTTACTGAATAACTTGGGTATACTGGGATACTGAATGACTTGAGTATACTGGGTTACTGAATAACTTGGGTATACTAGGTTACTGAATAACTT